CTGGAACCCCTGACCTCAGCCTGGACTTGCTGTCTGGAACTTCTTGACCCTAGACTGGACTTTGGTAAACCTGCTCTCTGGAACCTCTGACTTTTGGGCTGGACTTTGGTTACTCTTAACAATCTTGCCTGTGGCCTGCCCTGCTGGACTTCAGCCTGTGCCTCCTGAGGAAGCTACATCAGTACAGTTTCAAACAATCTGAGACCCTGCAAGTGCTTAGATAAGGTCTAGGCAATATCCCATGCAAAATTCAAACTTAAGTTTAAAAAAGCAACATACATTTAAAAATAAGGAAAGTAATTCATTCTTTTTTTACCATTCCATCTTTAGAAAATCTGGGTATGTTAGTCTACCTTAGCAGGTGAAACAAATATATCACAGTACTGTAAACCCTAGAAAGACCTTGAATGAAGACTTCTGGAAGATGGGGTGAAGACCTTCCCAAATGCAAGTCCCCTTAACTGGAGTTGCCAAGGATTAAGCTCAGAGCCTCACATGTGCACTACAATCAAGTTTATACAGAAACAATTCTGGAATTACAAAGTATACAACTCTATTGTTTTCAAAAAAGACATACCACATAATCATCCTTCTTTTCCTAGTGTCTTGAAAGATGAAGATAAATATCTTTAACACAGCTCTAATAAAAACAATGCAGTGGATAACAAAGATTGTATCCCGGAGATCCTCTGCCCTTGGCATTGCTGTGAGGTTGCCATCAAACCAGAATTCTAAGCAAACAAAGGTCAGAACTTACATGTGTGTTATGCTCACTCCCCGTAGCTGTATATTTCTATACTGAAGACAACAGGACAAATGCAGTGTTTCTGGTGACTAGTATCTATTTTTGCCTAATTGGTATTGTGAAAGGTTTAGTGCTGTAAACATATTGTTAACATGAGTGACAAATCTGATTCATTAACAAAACACAGAACATTATAAAAAAACAAGCAATAGATGCTTTAGATTTTGATCTGCATTATTGTTTCCTATCTTCAAGAGGCTAGGTGTTCTCAGATCTTTTGCATACAAATTTAGCACACAGCAGCTTCATCATTGACAATGAAACATGGGTTGTACTAAACAGTCTGGAAAATCTGGCTATAATACTTGGTGCACTTAAGCAAGATGTGTCTGCTCTCACCAATTCTGATAGTCTTGCAGCAAGTGTTCTGCAGTTGATGTCAGAGACCACTTTCTGAGCCTCTTAAACTGGGAGAACAGTGTAAGCAAAATTACTTATACTACTTTACCCTTGGTTTGGTTCATTCTGTAAGAAAAAAATTAAGTTTTGTTTTAGAATTTAAAAGGACTTAAACTGAAGATTTTACTCCTAGTATTAATTCACTTTTCAAATATAAGAAAAAACCCACAACTGTATTCTGCCTAATCAAATCCTTCAATACTGTACTATGGAGAAACAGAATGGGGGGAAATATTCACAAATAAAATGCAGAATTCATATAATAATAAGGATGTAAAACTGAAAATTGTGAAGTACTGGGATACCTTCATGCAGAAGTATGAAAAAACATAGAAAAGTTATGTTGGAGTATATTCACCACCTTATGTCAAAGTTCAATGTATATTAAAGGTAGCAAAATGTTATGAAACAAAATCTGTTTGTGATGCTACAAGTCAATGGCTTGCATTCACACTAGCAGTTCCATGGGGACAAGTCCTTATTTGCACATGATGTATTTCCTGCTTCCCCCTTCCTGCAGCAGCCCAATATCCCCCTGAAACCCCATTCCAGGGCCTGCCTTCCCCAAGGAACCAGATGGGAGGCATATTAGGCTGCTATAGGAGGTGGAAAGCAAGGAAATCATACTTCACAGGTGCAAGGACTTGCACTCACAGTAATGCTAGTATGAATTGAACAAAATGTCAGATCCCAAGTCAGGATAACAAACCCACGTTCCAAAGAAGTAAGATTTATTTCCAAAGCATGGTTGATCATGAACATACAGAGATTGTTCAGAATAACGACAATACACAGGGGCAAAGTAATATAGGAACTTCAAACTTGGTTAACCCAATGGGTACATTTCCCTCGTAAGGGAGCTGATTAGAAAAGGCGTGAAGTAGCCTGAGAACCACAACAGCTAATTTCATAAACACAAGTTGAGTTCACACGGGAAATCTAATTAGGCTAGGCAACAAGACATAACACTCCGTCACCCACCTGCAGGAGAAACTTGGCAGTTACAGAAGCATACCAGAAGAGAATAACAAAGGGAGGGAAGGGAGGAAGGGCAGGAAGAGGGACGGGACGTGTCCCAGAGAAATGGCAGCTCGCTGACAACTGGCTCTCAAGAATACCAAGCAGGAGATGGATCGACTCAATAAAGGAAGCCACGGCTCTCGGCTGGCAAGACCTGAGCAAGGCTGTTAGCACTGGGACTTTTTAACACAGAATACACACACACACACGGATCCTGAACCAGCAACACTCTCTGTGACCTAGAATTCCAAGATCTCTGTATCTTGGAGGGAGCACTCGTCCTGTGTCATGGGCATGAATGAGGATGAGCTGACAGAGCCTGCAGAAACCACAGCTGGCCCCTCTGAAGCAGCAGAGGAGGATCGCTGGCAAGTGCCTGTAAGAGCAGCCTTCACACCTGGCCCAGGTAAGAAGGAAGAGCTGCAAGCTGAAAGTTCTCCCAGCTCCGGCTTGGCTTTTTGGACTTTGCACTGTCTCCTTGGCTCCTGACCTTGGCCTGTTCTGGACTCCCTTTGACTGGCACCCCAGCCCGTGACATCCTGTTCCTCACTGTGCTTTGGCACGCCCCTGCAGATGGCCCTGGGAGGTGGGGGTGGTATTACAGCCACCAGGTCAGCTGGGAACAGGTGACAGCAAGTGCTACCGGGGTTCCACCTGCCCCAGTAAAGCTGCTGGCTGTCACTGGGCTTCCCACAATTTGTCTCTGCAGAAAGAGACAGAGGTGTTCTGCCAAGCCCTGCCTTCACTCTATGGACTCGACTGCCTTCTAACCTCTGGGTTCCATTACTTAATAAGAACATAAGAGAAGCCAATGTTGGATCAGGCCAAAGGCCCATCCAGTCCAACACTCTGTGTCATACTGTGGCCAAAAAATATCAGTGCCATCACGAGATCCAGCAGTGGGGCCAGGACACTAGAAGTCCCCCCCCACTGTTGTCCCCCCCCCCCAAGCACCAAGGATACAGAGCATCCCTTGCCCCAGACCGAGAGTTCCTGTCTATACCTTGTGGCTAAGAGCCACTGATGGACCTCTGCTCCATATGGTTATCCAATTCCCTCTTGAAGCCGTCCATGCTTGTAGCTGCCATCACTTCCTGTGGCAGTGAATTCCATGTGTTTATCACTCTTTGGGTGAAGGACTTCCTTTTATCAATTCTAACACGACTGCTCAGCAATTTCATTGAGTGCTCACGAGTTCTTGTATTGCAAGGAAGGGAGAAAAGTACTTCTTTCTCTGCCTACTCTATCCCATGCATGATCTTATAAACCTCGATCGTGTCACCCCTCAGCCGTCGTTTCTCCAAGCTAAAGAGCCCCAAGCGCTTTAACTTCTCTTCATAGGGAAAGTGTTCCAACCCTTTTATCATTCTAGTTGCCCTTTTCTGCACGTTCCCCAATGCTATAATATCCTTTTTGAGGTGTGCTGACCAGAACTGTACACAGTACTCCAAATGAGGTCGCACCACCGATTTATACAGGGGCAGTATGATACTGGCTGATTTGTTTTCAATTCCCTTCCTGATAATACCGAGCATAGCATTGGCCTTTTTTATTGAAGTCTCACACTGTCTCGACATTTTCAGTGGGTTATCTACTACGACTCCAAGATCTCTCTCTTGGTCAGTCTCTGCCACGGAGGAGGAAGAGGTGGAGTCGGGGCCACAGCCCACCACCGTGGACTTCTCCCTCTCCTACAGACCTCTTGTAAAACTCTCTCATCTTTGACCTTCACGTGAGCTGTGTAGCTCAGAGGCTGGGATCTTCAGCATGAGCTGGGGAATTAATTTAGGGGCTTCTGGTTGCCTCCTCGGAATTTCTAGCACTCAAGACGGCTGTAGCGGCGCGGCTTAACTTAATCCCTAGAGCAACTAGCTGAAGTCGAACAAGGTCATGACTTCCCCACGGCGGACCGGGAGGGGGAGAGGCACATGACTTCCTGAAGGCCACCTACTGGGAGAAACAAGATTCAAACCAGAGATCTCCTTTTGGTCCCGGGGACAGCTGGAATCTGAATAATTTCCCCCCCAGTCCTGAGTTCGGTTTCATGAACTGCAAATTCAAGACAGTTAAAGCCCAAGGGGTGCGGCACGACCTGGAGCTTTGGCGGTTTTGGCAGAACAGGGAAGACCCCTCAAGTCCCTTGCGAGATGTGAGGAGGGCTGTGAGCGTCGCTGGCGTCTAAAACCCACTAGTTAGGCAAACTGGAGGATGGACCTAGCAATGACCCACTGGCCATAATCAGTCAATGGAACCTCCAGGTTTAGAGGCAGTCTAACTGAATCCTAGACGTCGAAGGAGGAGGAGATTGGATTTACACCAATCTTCGCTATCCAAAGGAATCTCAGAGAGGCTTACATTCTCCTTTCCCTTCCCCTCCCCACAACAGACACCCTGTGAGGTAGGTGGGGCTGAGAGAGCTCTTTAAAGGACTGCCCTTGAGAGAACAGCTCAGAGAACTTGTGACTGACCCAAGGTCACACCAGCAGCTGCATGTGGAGGAGTGGGGGATCAAACCCGGTTCTCCCAGAGCAGAGTCCATACTCCTAGCCACTACACCACACTGGTGTGCGTCCCCTTCCCTGGTGGGTTTCTCAAAAGCACTCTGGCTGGCCTCTTGAGTCCGGAAGCTAGACGAGACGGATCTCGCCCTAATCCAGACAGTCCAGCTCCTGAAGTGCGTCTTTCATAACGAGCTGCAGCTCTCAAGGTGCAATGGGGCTGCCGCAACCGGCAGCAAGGCAATGCGGCAAAGAGCCGACTGCGACGCCTCACCTACCCTGACGGAGCTGTTTTCGAACATCTCCACTGTCATCTCCTCCTCTTCCTCCTCCTCCTCTTCTTCCACCGCCATGCCCGGGAACTTCTCGTTCTCGCAGAACTGGAGGAAGATGGGGGCGCGGGTCGAGTTGCGCTGGATCTCCACTCTCAGGATGCCGTCCCGTGGCCACTTGTCTCGGACGTGCTCCAAGCAGTTGATAGGCGAGCGGGAGAAGGCAATGTGGATGTAAGCCAGGATGAAGAGCACAAACAGGGCCTGGGTGAACAAAAGACACAGTGGGGGTTAGGTCAGCCGGCTGTGGGGCGGGGCTCCTCCTCCTCCCTGGGGACTCTGGCCATGTGGGGATTAAGTCAGGCACCTTTCCTGGTTGCCTGTGGCGAATCGGGATCAACTCTAGGCGATCAGGCAAGGCCGTTTTCACATCATGAATCCTGCTTTTTTTAAAAATGTGTTAATTTAAACACATTTTGTATGCCACTTTTTCATTTAAAAGCTTTTTTGAAAAGCTTCTACTAGGCAATAAATCACTTAGCCAGGCCTACCTGGAAAGGTAAAAGCTAGTAAAAGAATGGATGCTTATGTCTCTAATAGAGTTGCTCTTTCTGCACTAGCTGCAAGAAGGATTAGATGAAATGGTATGGTATCCTACTTATAGACTGTTGGCTATGTTCTAACTTGCTATTGATTTTATACGGGTTCTGATCGGTAGTATCCTTGTATTACTGTGAATTCTGTTAATTTGTTTTAATACTGTTATATTGTTAAGACCTATGGTCAATACAATAAAATCTACATCTACATCTAGTAAAAGAATGCTAGAGAGAACACAAGAAATGCTTCCGGGCTTCGATCGTAAGCATTTCTTGTCCCAGCATCCTGAATCAGGTACTTCTAGAAGGGTCCTTATTTGGAGGCCATGATAACCACGGGGTAGCTTGAATCTCAGGCGAACATCGAAGGAGAGGGGGCTTGTGTGAGCCGGACACCAAACCAGGTTCATGACCCTGTACAGGTGGCCGCTTTGCCTCGTTAAAAATTCCACTCTGGGGTCCTTTGTTAGCAAGGACTGGGCTGCTGCCGTCTCGGCCCGGGAGTGGGCCTCTTTCTGCAACTGCAAGCTCCCAGTGACAAAGTCCGGCTTGCTGCAGGAACCAGGGAGTATCCCCTCTGTACTTAGTGAGGGCAAATGGACCCTGGCATTCCAGGAGAAAGACCAGAGGGGAAACGAACCGCCCGGTGCATTGTTCACCTTCCCTAAAATCATTTCAACAATTATGCAACTTCGTTGCACGTTTTCAAAAATGCAGCTGTTACTGTGAAAGTGAAGTCAATGTGTTTGTTTTCGAAATTGGCATAAAGAGCTTGCTTTTATTTGTCTTTCCAATAGAGTTCATGCTTTCAAAGTCTATTTGGCCAAGGTCATCTAACCAGGCAGCTGATCAAACCTTCCTTTGAGGACTGGTCAGATGGACACACCTACATTGGACAGACCCCTTTCTACTTCACCCCCAATGAACAGCCCTTCCTGTACCCTCCTAACAGTGGGAAGTGGGCCCATGGGATACAGCTGTCAAGAGTGATGTGCTGGCTTAGACAGCCACCTAGCTGCCGATAGTGGAACTTAGGCTATGCCAAAAGCCACCCAGCACTTGGGATACCCTGAGACCGTTTCCACAGCGGTGAAATCCCCTGCACTGACGTTTTTAAAAACGCTGCATTATGTGAAATTTTCCGCAGTAGATTTTTCCTCACCAGGCTCAAACCCAAAATTTTCTCCTCCTTACCCTGCATTTTCGGAACCCCCGGTTTTAGTGGGCTCCAAAAATGCGGGGTAAGAAGGAGAAAACTTGAGGCTTTCACCAATGCTCCCCCCCTGAGTTGTGGAGTTTTGTGAGCAAACGTTCTACTTTGTGAGCTACGGGCATGAAAGTTGTGAGCGAGCGATTTGGCTACTGCATCTATCAGTTTGCTCTGGAGCCCTCCTTCCTGAACGAAGGCAAAAATGCATGAGCCGGAGGCTAAAAAACTGTGAGCTAGCTCACACTAATAAAGTTTAGAAGGAACACTGGTTTGCGCCTGGTGAGGAAAAATCTTCTGCAGAAACCTTTGCGTAATGCGGGGAATTTTATTACTGCAGAAATGGTCTGTATCTGGACAGGGAATCCCAGTTTAATCCCCAGGAGGCTGTTTGATTTTTAAAAACACCTGAACCGTTGGCCTTCTCTCTCAGTGGAAGCAAACAACCTGTCCCCTCTGTTCTTGTCCACGGGCAAAGAAGCAGGGAATCAGCCATGGGATAACAGGAAAGAATGAGGGTCTCCGGGAATAATATTTAAGAAAGGTGAAATGGGCAGATCAGGGAAACGGCTGGAGCTTCTGATCGGCAAGCTGGAAGTTGTAGCTGCGACATAAAATGTCTGAACACACCATAGTTCACTAAACAGTTTGGTGCAGTGGTTAAGTGCGCAGACTCTAATCTGGGAGGACGGGGTTTGATTCCCCACCCCTCCACATGCAGCTGCTGGTGTGACCTTGGGTCAGTCACGAGTTCTCTCAGAGCTGTTCTCTCAAGGGCAGTTCTCTCGAGAGCTCTCTCAGCCCCACCTACCTCCCGGGGTGTCTGTTGTGGGGAGGGGAAGGGAAAGGAGATTGTAAGCTGCTCTGAGACTCCTTTGGGTACTGAAGGGTGGGGTATAAATCCAATCTCCTCTTCTTCATTCCAATTTACCAACGGTTGGTTGCTTAGGGCAGATTCTTACTGGTCACAGACAGTGTTCCCTCTAAGCTGAGTTAGTGTGAGCTAGCTCACAGTTTTTTAGCCTCTGGCTCACAGATTTTTGTCTTAGCTCAGGGAGGATGGCTCCACAGCAAACTAGTTGATGCAGAAGCCAAATCGCTTGCTCACAACTTTAAGGCCAGTAGTTCACAAGGTAGAATTTCTGCTCACAGGACCCCACAGCTTAGAGGGAGCATTGGTCACAGAGATGAGTGGCCAATCAGGAATAAGCCCAGGGAACTAACCAGGGCACCATACACTTAAGACAGTCCAAAATTGTTAATTAGTCCAGAACGCAGCAGGAAGATGACTCTCAGGTGTGGACTAGAGACAACACATTACCCCGGAACATAAAGATTGTCACTGATTTTTATTTACTTCACTTATTTACTCCCAACAAAGAAAACACCCTCAACTACATGCTAAAGCCATCTGTGAAACACCGGTGGTCTGGAACTCATTATGTTTCTGTGTCTTGTGGCCTTATCTGGATTCGCCTTCGCTAATGGCTATTACTGATTAAAGCAAAATCACACGCACCAAACAAAACCAGAAAAATACACAGTGATCATTCCTACCATATCTGTGGGACTGCCTCTCCCCTTATGACCAATGCACCCTGTAACCCTGTGGAGTCCTGTGAGCAGAAATTCTATTTTGTGAACGACCCACATAAGTTGGGCTGCTGTATTTCGAACCTGATTTGGTTCCCAGGGGCAATTATTCAGATCTGTCTTGTGGGGCGGTTAGAAGGACCATTAAGATAGATCCAGGTGGGATAGCCACGTTGTGAGCGAGCGATTTGGCTGCTGCATTAATCAGTTTGCTCTGGAGCCCTCCTTCCTGAGCTGAGACAGAAATGTGTGAGCCGGAAGCGAAAAAACTGTGAGCCAGCTCACACTCACTCAGCTTAGAGGGAACACTGCTTATGACCCACCCTGGCAGCTCCAGTCATCTGAGCAAGGGCTTCTGCTGGTGCCAACCTGCAAATGGGCAAAGCCAACAACTGCCTGCCCCCATGCCTTCTCCGCTGTGGCCCCCACCTTGTGGAATGGCCTGCCTGAGGAGGTCTGGAGGGCTTCCACTCTCCTGGGCTTTCTGCAACCTATGCAGAACCGAACCATGCAGGACGGCTTCTTCTTTTTTTAATGGAGGCAATAGGACTCGGCTCTAATGAAAGGGTTGAGAAAGATATTTTGGTAAAGGAAGCGGGACTGCGGAAAATACCACTGTATACAGTATGTACTGCCTGTTGCTGCAAGTATGATCCGACTACATAACTTCTGCACTTTTTTAACATGCCGTGTTAAATACCTATGCTTTGTTTCGGCTCTGTCATCAGGAGTCTGCACTTCAAACCCCCCACTGTACTGTCTATTGGATATCCCATTCTTTGTTGACTTAAATTGTCTGGCACTGTATAATCCGTGTTTGGTCTCAGCGAGAAAGGCAGATTATAATTAGCATAAATAAATAAATAAAAGGTCAAGATGGCTGGCCGCGTCAGTCTCTCTGCAGCAGCAGAAAAGAGCAAGGATCCAGGAGCACCTTAAAGACAAACAAAATTATGTGGCTGGGCGTGAGCTTCTGTGAGTCACTGCTCACTTCTTCAAATTTATTTATTTTATTCTATTTATTAAATTTATACCCCACCCTCCCCGCAAAGCAGGCTCAGGACGGCCTCCATACAAGCATAAATACAGTTAACATCATACAATTATTTAAAACACAACAGATAACACAAATACAAACACAAAGTGCTGGCGGCAATTAAAAGATTAACTGAGATGGCTCATTTTCAAAATGAATAAAGAAAAAATAGTAGTATGAAGCATTTCTACAGCACCATAGACAGTCTGGAAAGCAGTTGACACGCTGTATTTTAATGATCCTTTGAGTCCAGTGGCAACTTTAAGCCCAGCAAATAGTGGTGAAGTGCGTGGACTCTAATCTGGGAGAGCCGGGTTTGATTCCCCACTCCTCCACTTCCACCTGGCTGGATGACCTTGGGCAAGCCGTAGTTCTGATAAGAGCTGTTCTTGAAAAAAGAGCAGTTTCTGTCAAGAGCTCTCTCAGCCCCACCTACCTCACAGGGTGTCTGTTGTGGGGAGGGGGAAGGGAAAGGAGTTTGTAAGCCGCTCTGAGACTCCTTCGGGTAGTGAAGGGCGGGGGATAAATCCAATCTCTTCTCTTCTTATTCTGGGAATAAGCTTTCATGTGCATGCACAATTCCTATACTTGCTTATACCTCTTTTACAGTTCTACGGGGCCTGCAAGACGGAGCTCTTCCGCCAGGCTTTTAACTAGGGAGCCGCCGCCACTATAGAGCCCTGACCCTTGGTTTTGACCCCTAGCCTGCGCCGCAGGAAGATCACGAGCAGAAGGTCTGCTAGACCTCTGTGTATATTTTGAAAGTAAGCAGAAACCAAGGGGGAAAAAACACTGAACCTAACAATGAACTCCGAAACCAAGCAAAGGTTAGTGAAAAGGAGGGCCAATATTAAAACCTTTCCATAAAAGATAAAAAGAGGTACATGTATTTATTAATAATAATAACAAATTTTAAAACATATATAGAGGCCCATTTACAACCAATGTATATAAAATATAACAATATCAAGGGCTTACAAAGTTGACCCACGAACTTTGTTCTGCTGCTTCACACCGACGTGGCTACCCCACCTGGATCTATCTTAATGGTCCTTCTAACCGCCCCACAAGACAGATCTGAATAATTGCCCCTGGGAACCAAATCAGGTTCGAAATACAGCAGCCCAACTTTTAATACAGCCACAGGAGATGTACGGTGCCTTTCTGGCCTAATTCAACATGCTGGTTATGACCTTAAAGCCCTTCACAACCTGGGACCTGCAGATCTTGCTTCGAAATGGTGTGTGTGTGTGTGTGTGTGTGTGTGTGTGTGTGTGTGTGAAACCAACAGGTTTAATGGCTCAGAGGGAGGCAACCTAACAGCTGATAGGCGGACCTGCCCTGCTGTTAGGTTTAAATGGCTGGCAGCCATTTCGCCAATCTGTTTCGCTTCCCCCTGCTCTGAAGCAAGATCTGCAAGAGTGAAACCGAGGGGTTTAATGGCTGGCAGCCATTTCAACCTAACAGCTCGGCTGCGGACCCTGCGCCACTCAGCTGTTAGATTTAAATGGCCCCGAACAGCTGAATCGAACAAAAGTCTGGTAGATGTTCAGGGGCGCCAAGCAATGCTCCCTCTAAACTGTGAAGTCCTGTGAGCAAAAATTCTACTTTGCGAGCTACCAGCATTAAAGTTGTGAGCAGGCAGGTGATTTGGCTACGGTATAAATTAGCTTGCTCTGGACTGGAACCATCCTTCCTGAGTGAAGACAAAAATGTGAGAGCCGGACGCTCAAAAACAGCTCACACTAACTCAGCTTAGAGGGAACACCGGTGCCAAACCAGCCCAAGTGCATTCTGAATTTTGGCTCGTGAGCCAGTGCGTGCCGACCCCTCTTGTGCCAATCGGAAGCACCAATAGAAACTTTCCCTGCCTCCTGGCGAGCCTGCTAAAGTCAGCTTTCTGTTGTGCTCAGTGCCTGTAACGGAGCCCACTTCCCACACTGCTCATAGCCAGCGTACACCACCCTGTACCAGCCCATAAGCCAACTTATCGGCTTGCCTCCTATCCGTATGCCCTCAGTTCTGACACTGCGTCAGTCCTTCTGTATTGGCTGGGATTGCTGCCGGATCACCAGCTTGGCCCCCTTGCCCAAGCGCCTTTCCTTGGACATCCCTCCAAGTCGTAACTGGTATGCCAGTTACTAGACCACCCCAGATTTATATTTATTTATTATTTTATTTATATATTCTTTAGATTTGTATTCCGCCCTCCCCGGAGGCTCAGGGCAGCTAACAAGGGCATAAAATGCCTGATAAAACAATAAGAACAGTATAAAAATACAATACAATATACAACATAATACAATTAATAAAATATCGGTGCTCCCCTACCCATTCCAATTCATAAGATCAAGATGGTGTTCTACAGATATTACAACAATATAACGACCGTATATGTCCCCACAACCCTGTCATCCGCCAGGTACGTCTCGCACCCCCGATGTTACCCGCACCAGCGGTGGTAAGGGTGCGGTGATGGAAAAAGCGTTGATGGAATAATGGCGGCGGCGGCTCCTACGCGAAAACCTGGCGGATACTCGAAAGCCTGGTGGAAGAGCTCCGTTTTACAGGCCCCGCAGAACTGCCCAAGGTCCCGCAGGGCCCGGATCTCCTCTGGGATCTCATTCCACCAGGTAGGAGCCGCCACCGAAAACGCCCTGGCCCTGGTCACAGTGAGTTTGATGTTCCTGGGGCCTGGAATATCCAGGAGATTTTGGGTCCCCGACCATAGTGCCCTTGGGGGAACAGATGATTCCTCAGTGCGGAAATTGGATGATAATATCTCCAACCCCCCTTCTTTCCCTCCTCTGCCTACTTCTTGCCTCCTTTCTATCATTCTCTCAGGTATATACTGTTGAGGATAGGGGGTAGCTACTGGGCGGATGCCAAAACTGGGCACTGGAATTGATAGGTGTGAGTTATCTTATGATGGAATATACTGAAATACTGTTTTTGCCTGCAATTCTGATGCTTTGTGTTGCACTCTGATTATTCCAATTTCCTACATCTGCTTTCTTTTCTAAGCCCGCTCTTAAGCGCCAATACTTTTCACTTTGATCTCAAACTCTGGGCATACGTGATTTGTTCTCTTGGATCCACGTCCTGTTCACATGGATGAGGAAGTTGCTCTGAGCACATCTGGCAACAACAGGACCAGCAAAACATCAAAGTCCGCTGTGTTCAAAGATCCACATTTCTGACCACGTGCCCTCCCAGACTTGCCCCAAACACTCCTCTTCGCTCTCATCACTCCTGATCTGCTGCCCATTAGAGACTTCTCTCACCCTGCTAGTTTTCTGCTGATCAAACCACTTCCTTCCCCCGCCCCGAGTTTCTTCTGAAAAATCTAACCCTCAAAGCCACTCCAGAGAAGAGGAAGAGGAGGAGGAGACTGGATTTATACCCCGCCGTCACTCAGAGTCTCAGAGCAGTTTACAATCTCCTTCCCTTCCCTTCCTCTCCTCTCCCCACTACAGAAACCCTGTGAGGTAGGTGGGGCTGAGAGGTCACTAAGAGAACTTTGACTGACCCAAGGTCACCCAGCAGCTGCATGTGGAAGAGTGGGGAATTAAACTCAGTTCACCCAGCAGCTGCATGTGCAGAAGTGGGGAATCAAACCCGGTTCACCCAGCAGCTGCATGTGGAAAACTGGGGAATCAAACCTGGTTCAGATTAGAGTCCGCCACTCTTAATCACTACACCAAACTGGTCTGGACACATAAGGCTGCCATACTGAATCAGGCCTTTGGTCCATCAAAGTCAGTACTGACTGCTCAGATTGGCAGCAGCTCTCCCCAGAGTCTCAGGCAGAGAGTCTTTCCCATCACCTCCTCCCTGGTCCTTTTCACTGGAAATCTCAGGGACTGAACCTGGGACCTTCGGCATGCCAAGCGGATGTTCTGCCACTGAACCACAGCCCCTCCCTGATTCTGCCGTCTGTAAAAAGAAGCCACATCTGACCAAGATTAAAAGGTCCATCTAGTCCAGCACGAGGTTTCCAAGGGGGTTGGGGATGGCTTGCATGTGGACGACTGCCTCTCTACATGGAGGTTCCACTGCATTCTATGAAGTCCAACATCCTGTTTACAGACAGCTGCCAGTAGGGAGGACTGCAAGCAAGCCTTAATGTCACCAGGCCACCTTTCCTGCTTCCCTTCCTCAAAGCAACTGGTAATCAGAATGCATATGAACCTGGAAGCTCAGAGACATTTACTTAACATGGATAATAGCCTTTAATGGCTCTCAGCTTCTCAATCAACACCTCTCTGGTTTTCTTTTAAAAGCACCTTTCTGGCATCCGTCACTGCATCCCATGGGGGCAGATTCCATAAGATGGTTACTCTACTCACTGCTTCCAATTTTTTCCAGTTTCTAACCTCTCCCCTCCCTCTTTTATTGTTCCTAAAGCGGTAGTTCTCAAAATTTGGATCTTCGCAAAGCCCAGAAGGAGAATCAGGTGGAGAGGGGCCATGGAAGGCCGGCTAGAAAATCTGGTGTACTTCTAAAAACCAAACATGAACAATACAATTTAAAATTGTTCAGTGCAAGAATCTTGGTTTCTTTGTGAAAGAGAAAAGTAGCATGGAGTTACTTTGTAAAAGGTAGAGTAAAATTAGAAGGGGGTCCCACTATTGAAAGTCTTGAAAGACAACACAGCAGTCCCCTGGGACCTAATGCAAAGTTTTTAGTTACTGAGGGCATTTTTATCCCCCCCCCCTTATTCTACAGTTCTCAGGATGTTATGTTATCTAAGTCTGGGGTTATCTCTATGTTATCCTCTAAGCCAGGGGTCCCCAACATGATGACCATGGTTCACGCAGATACCTTTTTCTGGCACTTGACAACAGTTTTAGAAATTGGGTGAAGCCAGGCTTCAGACTGAACACTGGAAATTTGATGGGCTGTACAGATTTTTTTTAATGTTGCTTTGAAGAAGAAGAGATTGCAATTATAACCCACCCTTCACTCGGAGTCTCAGAGTGCCTTACAATCTCCTTCCCCTTCCTAAAACAAATACCCTGTGAGGTAGATGGGTCTGAGAGAGCTCTTTTGAGAACTGCCCTTGAGAGACCAGCTCTGCGAGAACTTGTGACTGACCCAAGGTCACACCAGCAGCTGCATGTGGAGGACTGGGGTATCAAACCCGGTTCTCCCAGATTAGAGTCCGTGCTCTTAACCACTACAGCAAACTGGCTGCCACCCCAGCACAAGGATCTGCACTATGTTACTGAAGTTCAGCCGTTGCAACCATTTTGCAGCCAGCTCTGCCATTTTGTTGCCGCTGCACCCACCATGCCATGTCAGAATTCCAAATGTGCCCACAGGCTCCAAAAGGTTGGGGACCATTGCTCTAAATCACATCCCCTTTTTCGATAAGACAAGTGCTAAACACATTTTTTATATAAGTAGCAAGGCCTATCTGTCCTCAGCCCCCAACACAGTTATTACCTTGAGGAGTACGAAGAATTCGAAGATGCGACGGAAGGAGGGTGGGAAGAGACGGGCATAGGTCACGGCCATTTTGAAGAACAGCGCATGGAATAGGCGATCACGGACGTTGATCAGGGGGTTCTGGTTGAGGTTGCGAACCCCCCGGTTATTCACGGCAGGGGCCCCAGCTCCCCCATTATTGTTCATTGGATGATGGTGGTTGTTGGGTTGATTCTCTGACATCTTGTGACTCCTGGTGATGTTCACAGCAAACTCTTCTGGGAACAAAGTTCTCCGTTTCACATGTGTGTGGGGAAGGTGATGGGAGCGGGGACTTATTTTACTCTGGAAGGAGAAGGCACTTCAGATGGGAGGTGGCGGGGTCAAAACCCCCACAGAAGACCACTTCCACCGCAGTGGGGAAAACAAATGCACTTACTCTGGAACAAAATATTCTGTGTTCACGAAAATAACATAAGTCATTCTTAAATCGTTCTGTTGTGAGTGTTTCACTAACTATGGCAGCATCTGAGTGACAGGGGAGGGGGCAGAGACCCCAAGGCCAGGCACAGTGGGATAGGATGCCTAACCGTCCCCTAAGACAAATCAAGAGATAAAAAGCTTCTTGGTTTAACTAAGTTTGAGCAGAGGAAGAGAGTGGGCACGAGGTTTTAAGAGGCCCCCTGAAAGAAGGGATTAGTGCAAAACGAGGGATTAATCAGTCTCCAAAGAGAGAGGGGCTACTCTACTTGAAAAGGAGATGAGGATGAGAGAAATCAAACACCCCCTTCATGGAGGGGGGCTACTATAAGAGGGGCTGATATAAAGCCTAACTTCCCCAAAGAGAACAAGATGGTGGTTAACAGGTAGCCCTAGAGAGGAATCCGCGTAGCTTTAACAGGGAAAGGGAAACAAACTCCAAGAGGTCAGAATGTTACTTTGAAGTAAGGGAAGAGAAAAA